GATTAAAACCTACCCTATATTACAATATATTTTTGTCCTTTCATGTTCATCCAAACCCATAATAAATACCTGTATGCGCCACTATTAATCTTACTTCTTAATAAGAAAAAAAAAAATTAATAATAAACACGTAACAAAAAAATAAAGTTGCTCTTAAGCATTTGCAGATGGATGCATCGTTCATCGTCCGTGTTGACTGCCTCGACATCCCAATCACAGTAATTCTGATAACATTCTTTACACACAGTTGAATTTTTTATTTTATTGTTTTCAACTCTTTATTGAAAAATAATTAAATTGCAGGTTTTGCCCCCGTCCGTAGATGCAAATATTCGGTCGAGGTTGGCTGTGAAACTTCATTTGTGCAACCACAGGTGGGACAAGTGGATTGTTGTCGCCGAATGTAGCCTGAACAATGTCATCTTCACAAAAGGTTGGCGTACCTTTCTTCATGACAATGGTATAGAAGAAGGGGACACTATTGTTTTCAACCATGTTACAGTTGACATGTTCGAAGTTATTTTTTTCGATAAACAAGGAAGTGTGAAATCTCCTCCCGCAAAGGGAACTCAATCACCTTATGCTGGTCGAATGGATTTTATGACTTAGATTATTTATTTATTGATTTATTTTGTATTTGGTAATATGTTATTAATATTAATGAATTAATCAATGGTATCTCCCTATCTGGTTGAAGTCTTATGTTCTCGGTTATGTAAATCTAGCATGTGACATTTAAAAAATTCTCGGTTATGTTCTTTCTCGGTCATCGTCTAAATAAAAAAAAAAATATCGTGAATTTTTGTAACCAATGCAAAAAAGAAAAAGAGAATAAATGACCATAATAATTTGTTTCAACATCTAAATGAAATAAAAATAAAACATTTTAAACCAATGCATATTTTTTATTTTTAAATCAATGCATATTTTTTATTTTGAAACCAGTATTTTGTGTACAATTGATTCATAACAATGGCCGGTATCCGGTATTACCGCTAATACCGGCCGGTACGTTACGGTTTTTAAAACATGGATGTCAACAACACTCTTTATATATTTGTATGTAAACATTAAGAGCATGTTTGTTTAGAGACTTTTTAAAAAAATATTCAAACATTTTATCTCAACCACTTTTTTTAACAGATAATTTGTGTTTTTTCATTCTAATTACTATATATCACTTTATTAATAGAATACAAATAATATTGTACTCATAAACGATGAAAATTATGTTATCTAACACATGTTTGTTTAGAGTCACAGGTCCCTATTGTTTGATGATGAATCTTCATCTGGTGTTTGAAATTACTTGGTATAGGGTGGATCATGTTGTGGGGTTCTTTTGGTTATGTAATTTTTTTTTTTATGCTCTGCTGTGTTCATTTTGACAGAGGGTTATCATGTAGTATATGTGTTAATGGAATTCAATTTACTACAGACGGTTATCATGTAGTATATGTGTTAACGTTTTAATTAAGAATTTTTTAGTCAACAAAATGTTTTTTTTCTTTAAAAATTTTATGCTTTATAATTTAAGTTTTCAGAAATGATGTTGTGGTATTGTTGAATCCTGGGAGTGGGAAGTAGCAAATAAAACCGAATTAATTAAATTATTGAAGAGGTGTTGATATCCGAATTAATTAACTATGCAATTTGTGTTTGTTTTTTGTAGCGCATTTCATGTTGTATGGTTTTGAGTCCACTCCCAATAGGACTTGCCCTTAATTTCACGTTCACAACAAATCAATTTAAAAATAATTAAATTATGTTAAGATTGTGCATAGTATAATCATATTCGTGTTTCATAATTTTATATACATATATAAATCATAAATGGGTTCCATGCGATTTTTTTTCCCGTAAAGATTTTAACTACCATTAATATATCAATTTAATATCGCATATATGGTGATGAACCATATAATTTTATGCGATTCAACATTCCTAAAATTACGTCGTGTACCATATTTTTTTAATTACTAAATGATCACCATACTAATTTATTCCGTAACTTCCATATGTGTATCCACTAAATCACGTCCGGAATTGGCGCACAGTAAGTTTATCTTATTTTTTTTTTTTTTGAATTATCGTAAACAACTGGGAACGTCATCTTCATTTTCCGACGCTGGCAACGTAACATACAACCGAACAGTGAAAATTCATTGGACCTTCAACGGACTACAACACCCCTGTGAGTATAATACACCTTGTTTAGATTTGTATAAGTTATAACATCCAGTGTTATTTGACAGATCTTGTTTAATTATTACACAGGATTTAATTCCATGGAAAATGACGAAGATATTAGTTTCAACTCACCTGAAGCAACCGATGCCAAAGCCAAGATTTCTCGTCACAAGGACGATAATGAAATGCGCGATAACAGTTTTATGTCATGGGAGGATGCTGAAAAATGGTACATCAATTATGCCAGGAATGCAGGCTTTGATGTTAGACGATGCAACTGCAAGACTACAAAGGAGGGGTTGGTTAAGAATAGGCAATGGGAGTGTTCTCGGGCAGGCTACAGACGTAAAACTTTGGACGAACACCAAAGAATTCGAGCGGAAAAACCAAACATGAGATGTGGCTGCGATGCCAAATTCCGTGTTGCACATGATGCCAATGAGGGATTATACCGTGTCACCAAATTCGAAAAATCACACAATCATCCTCTTGAGAGTGTGGAAACAGCTCATCGTCTTAAGTGTAATAGGTAATAACAATTTTTAGGTTTCAATCGCATCTACAAATTAGATAAACAGTACCTGTTTTTTTATATTAAAAATGATGAATAAATTAATCGCAGTATTTCTTGTAGGCAAATGTCGGAATCTGAAAAAACATTGTTGATGACAATGAATGATGCCGGCATCCGGACATATCAGACGTTGAATTACATTGAAAATATGTCTGGTGATCATACAAGCATACATCACAAGAAAAAAAATGCATACAACTACCTTTCGAAGCAAAGGAATGATACAATGCGTAGTGGTGATTTTAATACTGCTCTTGCTGTGCTCGAAGGAGTGAGGATCAACGATCCTAACTTGGTTGTAGAAACAACGTGCGACGATGAAGGGAGGTTAACCAAACTTTTTTGGTGCGATGGTTTTTCTCAGGCAGCCTATGTGCAATTCGGTGATATTCTGATTTTTGACAGCACGTACAAAACAAACACATACAAATTCCCATTGGTACTATTTTCGGGGATAGATAACCACCTTAATACCACAGTATATGGTGGGGCATTGCTGCAGAACGAGACAACCGAGTCATACGTATGGTTGTTAACAGTGTTTGTTGCGTCAATGAAAGGGAAGATGCCTATTACTGTTATGACTGATCAAGATGAGGCAATGCGTGCTGCAATAAATAAGGTCTTACCTGATGCTAAACACAGGCTATGTGCCTGGCATCTCGAGAGAAATTGTGTCCAACGAGTTAAGGTCCATGATTTTTGCAAAGTGTTCGGTAATTTCGTAATGAAAAATTGGACAACTGAGGAATTTGAATCAGAATGGGAATTGCAAACTCTCAAACATGGTGTAGCGGATAATCCATGGGTCAAAGAAACGTTCAAAAAAAGACATCAATGGTGTGATGCTTACCTTCGAGGGAGTTTTATGGGGATGACAAGGACAACCCAACGAGCAGAATCTTTGAATGCGCTCTTCAAACATGGAGGCACATCCGGTAGGACGATTACGGAGCTCCTCAAATGTTTCCATCGCGTTGTGGGATCGTTGCGTTCAACATTCTTTAAGAAGCAGGAAGATTCGGAGATGAGTCCGTTGGACATTCCATTTGGAGCACCACTACACGGGATTCAGAATCAACTAGCTGGAATATATACTCGCTCCGTTTTCGCTAAAGTTCGGAAGGAGATAGAAGACGAGCAGAGTAATATTGTACTTAATAATCAGAGTTTCGATGGAGACTCACATGTATTCAAGCTGGAAAGATATGGTCATGCAGAACGTAGACGTTTCACTGTACGCGTAATTTTAACTGAAGGCAATTTCGAGTGTGATTGTAGAATGTTGGAAACTGATGGTTTGCCATGTAGTCATCTCATTACCGCATTCAAGTACTTGCATCTTCGAAAAGTGCCCACCCAATGCATACGCAACAGATGGACGACAATTGCTGGAAAAGAGCTTAGAGAAAAATTTCACTTAATACCTGCAACTAATGATCCACAACGGAAAAGGTATTCTCAACTGTATACGGAATCTGTTGACATGTGTCTGAAGGCGTCGCAGAATGAATCCGATACGTCAAGATGTTTGAAGAAAGTTCGACGTGCAACGGATAACATACACAATAAACTAGAACAAGATACGGGAAAATCAACTGATGATATTGATAAAGAATCACAAATACTTAAGGATCCAGCTAGAGGGTGTAAACAGAATGAAAATTCGGGTGACCCACGTAGGACTAGGTCTAGAGGGGCACCTCCAGCAAAGAAGCAAAGATGCAAATCATGCGGGTACATACTTTATACCTTACACATGAAAATATTTATTCTAAGACACAAGTATGTACTTTATTTATTATTTACGATATGCGAATCGACTTTTGTTTTGCAGTGAACCTGGGCATAAAACGACTACATGTCATTTGAAGATATCGAGTACTCAGCCGTCACAGTCTGAATGTGGAAATGAGGATGATTTTTTCACTCCAATCGGAACTCAATTTAAATGAAATGAATACAGTGAGACACGTTTTTTTTTTTTTATGTATGTTTGGGGAGAGGGGTTAAGTTCCAGTGAGCTACTTAAACAGTGCTTTAACCCTTTATTGCAGGTGAAATACCTAATATAGCTTTGGAGTGTGGGGCTCTTGTGGACAGGATGGTGTGGCATGGGCAAAGTGAAATAGTTGTTTTTTAAAATCACCAAATTAAAGGTTGAACCAGGGATGCAGACTCATATTGAAGATCATGAGCATATTGTATGTTCTGAAGACAATTGTGTAATATTTTTTTTTTGGAGTTTGTCCACTCGAAGCCAAATATGTTTTTTCCTGGGTGTCTAGTTGTGCCTCTTGGTAGACTAGTTCACTTGTAATCATTTGGCTATGCCGTATACGAACTTGCTTATTTGATTTTAATTCAAGTATGTCGCTTGTACAAATAAAATAAAATAAAAATATGCTAAGGTTTGTAATAAAATTTCTGAAAGTCTAATGAAGGAAATCATATACAATGAACAGCGAGATCAACAAGTAGTTAAAGTACCCATCATGTTAAACAACCAAAATAGACAAAACATCAACATCAAAGTCAGGCTAGTGAGATTTAACAAGTTTCATCCAACAAAATCCAACCTATTTCATCAGTGAAACATCCATAATAACATAAACTTACAGAATGGCATGGCGGTCTATTGCCGACGAAAGTAATCCTGAAACCCGTCAACGTCGCTTACATGAGAGCAAGCGTCGGATATGGAATCGTCAGAATAAGTTTCATTCATCGGTTGATCATTCGCAGCTGGGGTATCGCAGTTCGTCGAGTCGACCACCTCTCTCGAGATTGTCTTAGGCTCCATTTCATCAGGATACTCGATCAAGCGGCCTAACGGTCGGAAGAT